ACTTCTGGGTGTACAAGGGACAGTAAGGCCAGGCGAAGGGTAATGGGATTTGGGTGTGATTCAGGTCAAACTTGAATGCACTGTCCATAACAAAAACTTTTAAAAGATGATCTTTTGTGCAAAAAAACGAGATTTCATTCATATGTGACACACCTCTAAACACTTGAGAGTGTCAAAGCACACTTACTTGTACCACCTGCTTCTACTTCTTTGTCTTTTATTGCTTTCATGCTTATAAGTGAATTTCTGATGCACTGTAGAAACCAAAATGTGAAAAGCCCATTCTGGAATAGCTCCAGCTGGAAGGGGCGGGATGCTTGGGTGATGGATAGAAGTTCTCTCTCTGTTCTTAAAACCATCTGTTTTCTCCCTCAGTGGGGAAAAGAACAAACTTCTTTTGGGATAGAACGTATGAGTCAACCACAGGGCAAGGAAACGTACAGACTTACTATGCCATGCTTGGTGCTGTGTTATAAATCAGCTCTTGGACAAGGAGGTTTGACAGAGTCCAGGCAAAAGTCAATGACTGATTATCTGTCAGATCCTCCTCCTCCAGATCGAGGTGCCTAGACGTGAAATATTAGATAAGACGCCAGCTATTTGGACTGTTTCGTATAGCTTCGGTACCAGCCACCAGGACAAGCTATTATTGATTTTTAAGGTGCGACTGATTGAAGACTTAGGGTCATTTTTCTGTCACACTGCCACAATAAACTTCAGCAATATTTCAGATAGTGAAATGCTTTTTTTGCACGTCTTTTTTGCTTTCCTCAACACATTAACTCAGCGCATCTCGTGTTTGCGCTGACTGTCTCAGAGTTGCTCGGTGGTTTTGTATGTTATGTAACATTTTATGGACGCTTGCCAAGTTAAACTCCAGCATGCTTACACAGGCACCGAACATTACAGGATGGAAGGGGGGAAAGAGCTTTGCATTAACTCGACACAACCAACAATTGGTTTTAATTCCTCAGCAGTCTCCAGGTTTATCTAGGCATCTTCTGTGTTGCATACTATCAGGTCAGGCGAATCACAACATAAACAAACTCACCAGTCGCATTGTGGTGATGATGATCAAATGACAGCAAGGATGAATGGGTAATTCAGGAACAGGGAAGCTTCCTAGCATTATCCGGCTTAGTTGTTATGAAAGAAGTATGCATACAGGCACAGACAGAACCTCTGGTAATAAAGTGGCCTTTATATGATTACATCAGTTTAGAGCTTTGATTTATTTGATTTGTTTTAAGTGCACTATGCCAGAACCAATATGCCTAATGTCCCTGAGCTATGAAAAGTGCTTTGTCAGCTAGACATCTACAGTCCTGTTTCTTATTTCAGTGAATCATGTCTGTATACAGCTAAGCAAGCAAACAGAATGTATATCACAGATTTCATGCCACTGCATATCATATATAGATTATTAGTCATTTTTTCATTTTTAGTTTGTAATTTAATAACTTTGGTAAAATAAAACCCATATAATTTAAACAAAAAAAAAGTTCAGTGTACTTCTACTTTCAATGGGGTAATGTTTAAATTGACTACATGCATTTCTTCTGACAAAAATGTAACTTTCTGTTATCAATAAAGACAGCTTTACGTTTTTCAAAACAAAAAATTTTATTGCGGAAAAAAAATGTAGGTAATGACTTTATAAATTATGACGACAGACATTCAAAGTTTAATTCTAAAATCAAAATATTAGCTTCGAATGTAAATATGATGTTATAAATGAACGGTCTGAATGACCATTCTAGTAGTTAAGAATTGTGCTAGTTTCAGTCTTAATCTCATGTTCAATTGATTGCATGTTAAATGTTAGAAAAAAATAACTTTTTCCGTGTATACGAAGTTCAAAATTCCAGTGAAAATAACATGAACTAGTAAAAATGAAACCATTGACACACACGAAATTACTTTGAGTTGAATAAAACATTTTGGCAAATGTAAAATTGTAAATCAATATTGTTAGAAGCTAGTGAAGTAGCTTGCAAAATATAACAAAATACATCCTGTTAGTTATATGCAGCCTTAGGAGGCCTCATTTATACATGACTGCATGCATTTTGTGCTTATGCGACCTGTGTGTCCCACGTTTTAACCCCTTTTTGCCTTGTATTTTTGTTGTTGCATGTCTTGAGCACGCAGTTGAAAAAAGTAAACTCCGAGCGGAAAAAGCGCGTTATGTCAGTCTGACCTTTTTCATTCTCTAATCAAATGAAAGCAGAGGCGGAGTTTCTGTTAAATCGTCTGTTTGTGTTGTCAAGACGACTACAGAGATTTTTAAAGATGGAGGAGAGATTGCGGTCACTCTTTTGAGTTATCCGGTGCTATATATGACTTAACAAATCTTGAATATCACAATATTATTAAATATTAAAATTATAACATTATCAGCAGCAACATTACGTACATACGCATTTTGTTATTGCCTAGCGACAAAAAATGCTTTTGGAACATAAAAGCACGTTTGGCCCATAGACTGTAAAATATATGGACGTAGTATCCGTGACGTCACCCATAGGTTTCTAAAGAGCGCAAAAGAAGCCACAAGTAGGCGTGGCCAACCGTCGCCATTTTGTTCGCGCGTCATCACACCCACGGCGGGATACCAAACAAGGGCAAAGAGGCGGAGAGTGAGCGGAGCTACAGACGCATGCTGCATTTTGCTTGGACCTGGTTCATACACCTGGTTTACTTTGGGAGAACGCTTAATACTTTATCACTTGTGACTCGTTTGTATTCTGACCACTTGTGCTTGCTTGTACACTATATCAATTAAGTGTTTAGTCTTTTAAAAACACTGCTGTAATACATTGAGCCACTAAACATTGTTCTTATGACGTTTCTCAACAGGAGGAAAACGCGAATTACATCCAAACACCTCAGATATAGTCTGTGTTAGTTAATGTAAGACTATTGATGAAATCCAGCATAACACTGTATGACAACGCTTCAGATGACTGATCTAGAGCCTACAGCTAATCAATTTGACAGATTCTGTAGTGCATTACAGCTCTAAATATAAATATAAACGATAAATGATCTTAAATAAATCAAATACATGTATAGAGATGGTGTATAAGTATATAACTTTACTCACATGGGAAACGGAGGCCACGTGAATGGTTTGTGTGCACAATTAAGTGCATTCAGCATGACATTCCATCAAATAATTGTAGGAAACAAGTCCAAAAGGCAGCTGACTGTGTAAAGCCACATAAAACAACACAGAAATACGATAAATATGCCGAGTTCAGTGGCTAATCTGCCGGATTCAGCTGAGGTGACATGACGGCGACCAACGAGACCTAGCTGTCACTCAAGTGGCCACGCCCTTAATTATGCAAACTTAATATAACTTAATATAAAGGAAACGGATGAGTTATAAAAAAATTCACCCCCCTCACAGTTGTCATGAAGGGTAATATTAGCTGTATTAACCAAAATCTTTTTTTGTACCAGGCTGTAAACACCTTTTTTTCTGCTGTAAAGTTGGCCATTCTAAATGTGGGCTCAATTTAAATTTGCTCTGTTTTGGAGCCAGGAGCGGCCAGGACTAGCGGAATTTCGGATGAATTGCAGTTTTAGTTACTTCCGTATTTGCTTCCTGAGAGAGAGCGGGAGGTTGCCGCTTGGTTTGGCCTTATCGGCCCTCTAGACCATAAAATTAGTGGCTTAAACTGATCCATGAACATCAAAATCCCATTTTACAACACATGAGAGTGTCAACTTTGTAAGCATGTTCATAATCCTGAAAGAAAGGAGAAAACAATCTTAACAGAATTGTGATCCAGTTTTTTTCTAGTTTATTTTTAACATTTATTTTGCCCTCACAGAAATACATTGTGTATTCAATATTTTATTTAAGTAGAAATAATAATAGTTTTAAATAGTAGTAATAGTCACTGTTTTGTTTAACAGACTTAAAATTGAAAAAAAGAAGAAAAAAAAAGAAACGTGTGTATCATTAATATTTAAGCTTCTGAACATAAACAGGCACACAATTACATACACTCTTATCAACTACACTGTTGTCGTCTGTTCACTGTTTCGTCAGCCGTTGAGCAGTTCTTTATGGTTGAATTTATAACATACCCTGGCTCATTCACAAATCAGCGGTTGTAAATTGATTGAACATGGTTATATAAAGGACATTGTTTTCTGGTCGTATCTTTCTCAGATAACACCTTCAGATAACACCTTGGTTGCTTTATTTTTTTGATTCTCACTAATTTCTCTGTAAAAATAACAAAAACAGAAACATTTCATGTAAAGTAAGTGTTTGTGTATTCCTGTTTGTTACACTTGTGTGGCACATTTATAAAGGTTGCAAAGATAATGACCAGTGTGACAACTTGGCGACTCTCCCAACAAACATGTCATGTCAGGTCAGGTTTTTTCAAGTTTGAAAGAATGTGCATCCATTGTTTCATCCCAGGTAGATGTCAAAGGTAATGTTACTACAAATCAGCAAACAGGCATAGAGAAAGCTTCAACAATACCATCCAGTTTTCTTAATGAAATGTTTATTAATTTAACTTAATTTTGTCATTGATATTTCTAATTTTAATAATATAATTATACTATTTACAGTATATTACACCAGTATATTAAAATATTTTAAACATTTTTATATTATCATTTATTGATGATATTTATTTATATTATTTATCATCATATATTATTTTATAATAGATATTTACCTTTAGTCATTTAGCAGACGCTAAGCGACTTTCAATCAAGAGGCAGTACACACAACAATAATACAAAGGAACTGTTCGGGCTTAGATAAGTGCTAGAGTAAGGAGTTTAAAGGGTCATGAAACACCAAAACACATTTTTGAGCTGTTGACGTACACTGTAATAAGTCATTTCGGGGCCTTGTAGATTTCATTAATATTAATACGTACACTTTATTTAATAAATTAAATGTTCTGATTTTAGGGCATATTTTTACTTTGAAATTACTTAAAAGTGTCTGTAATAAAATCTAATTAATTTTCTTATCAGAATTTAGCTATTATTTTTGAATAATTTCAAAAAGGGAAAATATTAGTTAAATCCAACGTGATAAAAATGAGCATTTCCAAATTAGCCAGGGCCACAACGCCAAGCCAAAGAAACGCTGCCCTCGCCAGATACACGAGTGATGAGTGCCTGTCATGACCCGGAGGTGGACATCTCGGCAATTGTCAAATGACATTTTAAAATACGTACCATCTTTAGAAACAAACCGCAGAATTGAGTTTTAAACAACTACATTCTCGCTTGAACAACCGTTAAAACTTTATTTTATGGTACATTTAGAGCAATATTTGATTATTGTATTGGTTCTGTTCAGTACTTGTGTGGGATTGAATCAGATTGAACTGTTTGCTGGGAGATCGGGGATCTTTTTATCGCACTAAACCTTATACTCATCTGCATGTATTGTGTACTATAGCTAGTGTATAAATGCATGTGGCTGCGTTACAATGAAATGCTAATCAATCATATTAATGTTTTACGTTATTATACAAAAAGGCAATCTGTTTCGGGTGGCATCCGACTCTTACAATTCATTTAAGAGAGCCGATTCCTAGAACCGAACCGAGTCATTTGACTCTTTCATCAGACAACACAGAAAGCCTGCATTGTGAACTTGTCATGGTCTCATCCAAAGCAATTTATCGGTAAGTGTTGAAATGTCCAACTCTTTTAATTAAATGATTGTTATATATATTTCTGTATAGCACGTAATTCACCAAGTAACTTTAGCTACTTTTGTCACGTTGTTTATTAACAGACGGTTTTAGCACATTTATAAACGAAGTTAACAGAAGGTGTTTGTAACGTTAATGCTAATTTTGAGGTATTAGACACTGTTTGAGTTTTTAAAAAATGAATTTTCTGTTAACTTAGAGTTAACTGTGTTCTATTTCAGCACCACATTGAGTTAAAGTGACCACAGAGGTTTAGTGAGCACTGAGGAATAAAGTAACGTAAGCGAGGTAAGCACTGGCCTTCATTTCATTATGACCCTCATTATCAAACCATAACAAAAATGATATTGTCTAACGCTATTTACTAATTAGAACTTCTTGTATAGTGTCAAAGAGACAGACCAGATGCATCAACCGGCAAGTCTGTATCAGGAAACATGACTGACCACGAATGGATAACTGTCTAGGTTGCAAGCAGGAGATACATGTTACAGTTAAGTATTTCAGCTACAACATACTGTTAAATCACAGTAGCCATATTGCCATTAATGGTAACTTTAAGTTCTTACAAGAGAATACGATGCAAACACAGAAATGGGCCTTACTATCTACCTTGAAGTCACATATGGCTGTAATTTCACAGTAATTAAGTGTAAAACAAATCGCAGTGGCTTACTGTGAAAGTAATACAGTAATAATATTATTATTAGTCAGTAATTTACTGTTAACTTAGGATCAAATATTTTAGTGTATCAAAAAATATATATATTTTTTTTCTTCTCTCATTTGGTTTATTAAGTGAGTGCTGTATTTGAGAGAGAAGCCACTGTGCACTGTGGACCTTTAAAGCTGCTGAGGAGCTCTTGGAGTAGACAGAGATCTGAGACTAAAGGTAGAGTTTCTGACATTAATCATGTTTACAGTCTCTGACAGTATAACATAACATAATAACAGATAATAACATATTTTCTCTTTTTTTCCTTTTTTTTCCTACTGTTGTTCAGTGTTGTTGGACAATGAAAAACTGACAGGAACTAAACAGCTTGTGATGGCAGTAATGTTGACATGAACGGGGCCTTTTACAAGTGATTGCCTAAAGACACCATCATCATCATCATTATCATCATCATCATCATCATCATCTTCGAAGGTGTTAAAAGTTCTAATAAACCTTATCTTTACTAGGCTCAAGCCCCAGCTGGACTGTTTTGGCCCAAGGTATCCGATCAAGTGACTGTTGAAATGCGACTGGCCCTAGCGCATTGGCACGCTAACTTAAGGCGCAAGAGTGGAAACACAGCTCTTGACTACATTTCCAGAGCTTGTGTCCTCCTGGGTTTGACCTATGCATTTTAGTTGTGACTAAGAATGGTGTTTTACAAGTGACTGTCTAGTAAACACTGAAAGAGATTAAAGGGTAGTATTATCATGAACTGCTGTGTCCTCTTTGCCTCAATGAATTCATTCATTATTCAGGCAAACAATACTTTTCATGCATTAAATCAGATAAATTTCACTTTAAGTGTATTGTTTTAAACAATATTGTTTAATGTCCAGTTGTTTAAAACTATGCTGTTTAAAAACATTATCAGAGTCTTAGTTATGATTATTAGTTTGTTTAAATGTACAGTTTTTATTGTGTATAATATGAAGAGATTGTTGTTATTCTGTTTTGTGGCTCCACACTGCTCAACAGGCTCCGCTAATTTGAGCTAAAATCAATTAAATTTTACTCTGTCCATACTTGTTGAATTTAATTAATATTGCTTGTAATGTTACCTCAATTTTATTGTGTAGACAAAGTATTATTGTCTAGAGTTGATGAACAGGCTCCACACATTTAATGTTAAATCTAAATAAAAACATTGAGTAGTTTTCATTAACATTGTGTCGGTTTTTCGGTTCAATTAAATTAATATTTTTGTTTAAAATTTCTTTAAGTACTGTTTGTGGTTACTCAATTCAAATGACTAATTTTAAATAAGCTAATTTAATTAATTGTTACCTAATCCATTTATGTTGAATTTATTTAATAATATTGCTTGTAATCTGTTACCTCAAATTTATTAAGTAGATTTGGGGTATTATTTTTTTACAGTGTATATGTGTCCCACACTGCTAAAATCACTATTAGGACACATATATTTCACTAAAAAGTGATTATTTCGAGCAAATTCATACTTCTCGTTTGAAACGAATTTTTGAAGCTGCGTCACAGTGATAAGATCTTAGCGTGTATTCCAGTGTGTAGACTGGACATCTTTTCCTGGGAGTACCTTGTAACGTCTTCGAGTGTGCTGCATTCATTCATGAGTAAGACTTGGTTCAAACCAATCAGCGCGCTCTATTTTGTATAGGTTGTAACTTCATTAATGTGCATGATAGCTTCGAAGACCTTTTTACCTGTTACAGTGTTCAGACGGCAGAGAGGCGTCACGTTGTGTTGCCAAAACAAGCTAGAGAACAAGAATTGTTTGGAGATACGGGTTGTCGGTGTTGCGTTTATAATTTGCTGTAGTGAAGGTTTTGTTTTCATTTTCCCTCTGTGAGAGTGCTGCTACTCGTGTGAATTACAGTGCATGCAACAGAAATACGTGTCTAAGGGACATTTTTTTTACCCGAGAGCTTTTCTCATCTGGAAATGATGAAATTCGTTTTTGCCGCTCGTCTCCTTTTAATAAAGAGGCGGCTCCAGTGTGTGTTGATTGTCCTGTCTCTACAGATTTGGTAAGGGATCAGTGTCCTAGTTTGTAAATTCAGATAGCAAGGTTAGTTTGTATCATGAGTAGGGTTGGGTACGGAAACTCGGAATCGGTATGCACCGGATCAAATCAGCATATGAATTTCGGTGCCTAATTTCGGTGCTGTTACAAGAACGTAAAGCAGGTCGCGCACCAGAAGTGCCGCTCGGCAACGCGCAGCGCCATGCATTTAAGAATTTGCAAGTCAGCGGCTGTCTGCCGTCATGACGGTTCATATTTCGGCCATGCCACAGAGCGCCATCTGAATATTTTCATTTTAAATAAAATGCAAATGTGCACGTCTGGTGTGTGATACTATTAACTGTCATGTGCGCGCCGTGCCGCGGCTCTGAGCGGCGCATCTGCTGTGTGACGCGCTTAAAAAGCGTAAAGGGGTGCATTAAAGACACACATGAGTAAGCATTGTGTCACACTATCTTGTAATGTTTAATTCTAAACAGCTTTGAGGGATACAGATTTCAGCGATGTCTGGCATTTGTTATTGTAGCTTATAGAAGGCAAAGAGCACAGTACGGCGCATGTGGTGAGCGACTTGCTTCATCAACACGCAAGATCGCGTTCATCTAATTTGCTTAAACTAAGCATTCTACAGTATGCCCATATTTTGCAAGCAAGAATCTGACACACCAACACGCAACAGAAGTTGCGTGTAAGGGAGAAACACATCAAACTTATAAAATGTGAGGGCTCATGAAATCACCTTAAAGGTGAGAAATGGACCATCTCTGACAGCTTGTGACATCATCTGGCACATTATCTGAGTACATTTACCTGGACACCAATACTCTGATTTTAATATGATTAAGACAATACTCAAAAAGATCAAGATCAGAAGTCTAACACGTAAACAGTGAATTTTTCATATCTTAAAGTACCACAGACACAAACTGCGGAGGAAACATTTATAGGATGGTGACTCAATGACATTGATTGTTCTGTGTTATAAAATGTAACTGGGAATTATGAATGTAACATTCAAAAAGCAACTCATGTAAACACCTGAGTCATATTATTGTCTTATTCAGATTAAGGCAAATCAATAGATCCCTGATGTCCATGTAAAAGTAGTCACAAGCCCTAAACCCAGAAAAAAAGGTGCTCCTGATTTTGATGACAGCTTTTCCACAGATTAGTAGTAAGCTCATGTAATGTTAATGGCATAATGCAGCAAATGATCAAAAGAAATATATTAATGCAATTCAAATAAATAAAATATGAATTGATGTTTACTTTAAACTTATTATAAATATATATTTATATTGTTTAATTATAATGATAGTGATATATAATTTTCTTTTTTTTTTTTTTTGTCTATTAATTTTGTGTCTAAAAGGTATCGGTTCAGGCACCAGTACCATTTTAAAAGTATCGATTTAGCACCAGTATCGAAAAAAAAAAAAGATACCCAACCCTAATCGTGAGCATTACTCTTTCAGTGTTTAAAGACAGACCTTAGTCAAATGATTTTTAAGGTAACAAAGTTTACTGTACGTTAATATCACCACAATATTATGACTAAAAAATCTGCTGTAAAAGCTGCTTTCCGAGTGTAAACATGTAAGCACCACAGTCAAACTATTTCCGTCATGTAGGATTTTTGTTGCATTTTGTAAAAGGAATAACACACGGCTTTCTGATGCTACCTACCGAGTGCATCTAAGTCACTGAGAAATGCAGATGGTTTTTTCTCTCATTTGCAATGGGGTAACAAACATTGCATGAAAAAAAAAATGATTCGATTTAAATATCTCACTTGTCACGAGGGGCATGAATGCAATTCCTGAATGAAAGAGCCAATCTGCAGTTAAAGTCCACCATTTAATAATTTTATTACTGATGGTCATGTAAACACAGTCACTGTCTTTATCCCCTGCGTCTGTGTGTTTGTTTTGCCTCTGTGAAAATCTGCACGTGCCCAAACCAACACTCCCATTTTTATGCAAATTTTTACAGACCTTCCCTCTTTCCCTCCTCTGACACTCCCTCTAAACAGAGCTGAACACGCCCACTTCCACTCTCACTCAGCACAGCAGAGATTTCTTTAATTATGTCATTTGACATGCAATGACACGCAGTCAAATATTTCGCCGAACAGATCAGCCATTTTTGATTTTGATGCTCATAAACAATCATAATGTCCTCGTGCTGCAGGAATTAGGAGGTTTGCTGAAGGTGCACAGCTTTCTTGGGTAGTGCAAGGTTATAATAGTTTTGGATTTTTCATTAGTTTTAGTTTCTATTTCGTTTTGACTTTGTTTTCAAATTCAGTTAGTTTTTATTAGTTTTAGAGGCAGATTTACTAGTTTTTATTAGTTTCTATATTTTAAAATGTCTTAGTTTTAGTTTAGTTTTTATTAGTTTCAGTATTAGTTTCAGTTTTTTTTCTGAATGAGAATATTTGTTATGTGCAAGATACAAAATCAACAGAATAAATATTGTATTATAAAAACTCAGCCACACATTTTTTGAAACATGTATTCAGAGAACACATAAACACTATCATCATATATAATAAGTGTGTGTATTATGTGTGTATTATCAGATTCCTGGAACTGGATTGGAGAGGTGTTATCCACATCATGTCCATTATAAATTTGTAGAAGTTATACATTAAAAAATACCCTTAAATATAAATTTGTAGTACTACTTCAGTGAACTTGAACAAGTATATTAAAATCCATTAATTTCCCAGAGTTGTATTTTTTTCAAAGTGTGCTTTAAAATTTAAAAATAAGTTAAATCTTTGTAGACTAGAAATATATGTACAGTATATCATTCATTTTTAAAATGTGGGCAATACATTATAGACTGATTTTATTTAACAAATATTATATTAATATTATTTTTAATTCAACTATGGAGTGCAGCTATAGGGGGCCTACAAGACATTGTGGCCAGGGGCCTCTGAATTATTAATCCGGGCTTGGTTATGGGAAATTCAGATTTCTAATGTGGATGTTAGGACTCAACATTATGTAGTCAGCAATGGTAATTTCAGTCAGTTAAAACATCATCATGATCTGAAAAATGTCTTACAGTAAAGTTTTTTACTAACTGTAAACCCAACTGAATCATGCTTCACTTATTTAAACTCCATTACAATTGTCTGTTATGAAATAAACTTATGTTTTTTCTCCAGGTCCTCTCATTTAAGCCCTCGGTTTACCCGCGCTGCAGTTCAGTTCAAGTTCAGTTCAGTCACAGAAGGCTGTACTGTTTGTGTTTGGTTCACAGAATCACGCATGCGCAATATTATCGGTTCACCGCTTCTCAATGTAACTAGAGTCAGAGGGGGCATTAGGCTTGTTATAAAGTAAGAAGTGGGTGGACAAGTGCTTACTGGAGACGCAAATCGTTTTAAATGATTGAGTTCAATTTGGTGAAATAGTTCTACCGGTTCACTCAGAAGATTCGGTCAAAAAGATTTGTTCGCGATTGCGATACAGAAATAAAACCCATTATTGGGCACAAATGTGTTAAAGTTATACTTTTAAGTCTTTGTATTTAATGCTGTCACCATGCTGCTGTTATGTCCACGCGTTGTTTTTGTCGTGGGAGCAACAGCGAGGATGACTCGAGGAGAACCGGCTCGATCTGGCCAATGGCAGCAGGAGACTCTGAGGTGCGAAAGGGTCAAACACAAACACCTGCAGCGCGAATTATATTTACTTCTAAAAGGCTTACAGTAAGATTATGTATTAAATACCATTACAAAAAGTAAAACGAAGGAGGTTTTTAATATAATTTTAGTTCGTTTCAGTTAGTTTTGTATTTGCACAATACAGTTTCAGTTAGTTCTAGATTTTGAAAAAACTCGTTTTTATTTTTATTTCAGTTAACAACAATTATTTTACATTTTAGTTTTCGTTTTTTCATTAGTTTTCGTTAACTATAATAACCTTGGCCTAGTGAGGGGTTTGCTTCTTTAATAAACTACGACAGTTTGCATTCACTGTACAGTAAGAATGATTAATTAATCCATACGAAACAGTCCCTTAAAAGTCACATCTCGCTTTCAGTTTCGGACTCGAGCATGTTTTGCACTCACACACAAGCGTACCGCGCCAA